TTAATTTGTTTGTCGGTTGTTGTGGTTTTTTTCTTCAATGCCTTTATGTTGTCAATATAACATATAAAGATGCTGGAAAATATATCTGCTCTGCAAAAAACGAGCTGAACATTGATAGAACAGAGGTGACTCTTGTTGTACAAGGTATTCTTTATTCTTATCATTTTAAAACCCCATCTGAAACGGGGTTGCTAGCCACCTAACCCACCCCTCCCCCCTGAGTCCACTCTTGCCTCCCCCCCCCCGAATATAATCTTGCTTTTTATTTATTTATCATTTATTTTTATTTAAACATATTAACTCTCTGTGTTCGCTCCAAGAGCTAAGCTCATCGTGGGAGATTACACAGAACATAATTACAATGCTTTTGGTGTTTTATGACGAAGGGTTTTTTTGTTCTTTTTAGTGAAACCAATTATTACATCTAACAAACCAACCGACACACAAATAGCTGGTGAAATAGGCCAGGACACTTCAATACGTTGTGTRGTAAAGGCCATACCCTATGCTACAATATGGTGGACCAGAGGTAGTGAATCTGCTATCCTGGATGCTCGAAGTGATCGTGTTAAATCGCTCAATATTGGAGACTCTGAGATGACACTTATAATAACAGTCTCATATTTTAATGAGAAGTATTTCTGCCATGCTAAGAATATCCTGGGRTATGTTTCGCAGGAATTCACTATCAGAAAAAAAGGTAACGCTATAATGTTCTTCCTCACTTAACAATTTTCTGCTACTCCACCTCATGCAAGRTGGACAGACATTAAGTTTTTTCGTCACAGCTGGGGTCTTATGTTTCTAATTCATGGATTCGGCATCACTCTAGCTATACCATGCAATGGCGAATGTCATGTTGGATGGCAGAAACAATACAACGTTTTACATAAGAAAGGATTAATTTCCCGAGAGCAAAGGGATTTTATTTGTCTGCCATCTAACCACAGGCAGCCCAAGCTGTATTGTTGGCGTTTTATGCACTACCTTTGTTTCACGAAAAGAGGTGTATTAGGAGAAAAGGGGCATGGCACTTTGCATCAGTTCTTCGTAGTTCTCCACGCCATGAATAAGCCATTGTCGAATTAATATCTCGTCAAGCAAGAAAGGTATCAAAGCGTATTTGAATAGAATATAGCTCTTATAATGTAGCACCTAACTTGCATAGTTTACYTTCGCTTCCTCGTAGGTCGCAGCTGCATTCCGACATGCTGTATAGGGATCTATACATTTTTCGCGCACGTCACTCTGCAACTCATGTCATGTCATTATGGCCACTGCAGCTTGCAAATAGAAAATATTTTATATTTGAAAACAGGGAAAAGCCTAATTTAAGCCATAAAAGTTCCCTACGATGGAAAAGGTACGAACATTGTTCTTTTTCTCTATAGAAAGTGCTCCAAGTTGGACGAGTACGCCATACAGTAATAAGAAAGTATATGAAATAACTGGTGGGTCATACAGCTTTGTATGGCGGTATAATGAAAATGGCTCACCGTTGAACCATGGCCAGTGGTCTAAAATTACAATGAGTAATGATGATCCACCCAAAGAGATCCAAAAAGCAATAGGTCAACGCAGCACTAGTGGGTCATCAACTACAATTGCTCCAGATTTTCAGAGTAGAGTCACTTTCACATCGGGTGATTCAGAAGCAGGTTTTGAAATCAGACAACTGACGTCTGCCGATAATGCAAAGTTTACCTGCCAGCTAACTTTTGATAATTTTGATGTGCTAGCTGATTCGGCAGAACTTGTGGTTGTAGGTAAGTGTTTAGCCAATGTCGTGTGAAGGGAGTGTTGTTTCACTAGGGCGCGGTAGGACTTCGTAAGCTAGCTTGTATTGCTAACTTTAACAGGAAAGTGCTCACATTGCTCGTTGTAATTGAAAGTAAAAACATAATTTTGACCATAGATGAAAATCTTATTGCAGTTCCGCCCRTCATTACCAATAAACTCACAGCACCCCAGACCATTAATGAAGGACAGACGTTTAATCTACCTTGTGCTGCAACTGGAAATCCACAGCCAAAAATACGATGGTTAAGAAATGGTATTGAAGTGCAGTACCTTCATGATCATTTTGGTTACAACATCACTAATGCTGGCAATAAGAATAAAGGGTTGTATCGATGTGAAGCTATAGTCACAGGAGGAAGTATTGTGAGGACTGCTTATTATGAAGTGAACATCAGTGTTAGATGTGAGTATTTATTTTTGCAAAAAAAAAATTATAAATAATATGCAAGGGATATTAATGATTAACAACTAGACAAATAGTACTTTTTAGAAACAGTATGATACATGAAAACAGGGCACTATGCTTGAGGTGTTACGTAAGAAATTGTTTTTGATGTAACAATTGTCATATACCAAACGGAATTCTAAAATTGTATCAGSCATTTTACATGTAAGCCTTCGAGTTTTCTCGGACAAGGATTTAAAATTAAGCCGTAGGCTCCGTCTGTCTATAACCCGTATACGTTTCTGCAAGAGAAAAGTTCATTTTCTCTTGGTTTCTGCTTATRATATTGACTATAAGAGGAATGGAATTAAATATAAAAACAAATATTCTACTGAAAAAGATACCAGGCTGAAGTTAGCAGCCTGTTCAGCAGCCAGTTCGAAAATCGTACCAACCCATTTTTGATTACTAAAAACTTCATAAACCTTATCCCTCAGTGCTTGCTTGAGTGTTTTAAGCATTTTTTTGGCGAATGACGCAAAGCACAAGAAGATTTAAAGCGCTTTTTTTGATCGGATACATTTTGGTCTGTCTGCCCGCTAGTCGCAACAACATCAACAGCAAGCAAGGCCGGAGTGCAAGAAGAACTGTTTACCAGAACAATCTCGACTTTAAATTTTATTTTTTATTTTTATTTTTTAGGTTTTTTTCTTCCTTAGGTTTATTTATGAATTTGATACGCAAAAAGTGTTGCTTGCATGCCAGCTCTTGCCA